GGATTGAAATTGTACCTCGCCATCCCTTGGGGGCTGCGATCTGTGAAACTGTCGCCACTTTCGAGGCCTGCTGGGGGGCCCAGCACAGTGGGTACACACGGCGGACTCAAATTAGACCTCGCCATCCCTGGGGGGCTGCGATCTGTGAAACTGTCGCCACTTTCGAGGCCTGCTGGGGGGGCCCAGCGCATTGGGTACACACGGCGGATTGAAATTGGACCTCGCCATCCCTGGGGGGCTGCGATCTGTGAAATTGTCGCCACGTTCAAGGCCTGCTGGGGGGCCCAGCACAGTGGGTACACAGGGCGGATTGAAATTGGACCTCGCCATCCCTGGGGGGCTGCAATCTGTGAAATTGTCGCCACTTTCGAAGGCTGCTGAGGGGCCCAGCACAGTGGGTACTCACCGCGGACTCAAATTAGACCTCGCCATCCTTGGGGGCTGCGATCTGTGAAACCGTCGCCACTTTCGAGGCCTGCTGGCGGGGCCCAGCACAGTGGGTACACACACGCATATTCAAATTAGACCTCGCCATCCCTGGGGGGCTGCAACTGCCGCCACTTTCGAGGCCTGCTTGCGGGGCCCAGCACAGTGGGTACACACGCAGATTCAAATTAGACCTCGCCATCCCTGGGGGGCTGCGATCTGTGAAACTGTCGCCACTTTCGAGGCCTGCTTGCGGGGCCCAGCACAGTGACGCCTCCCAAGTAGCTTACACATCAAGTCGATTGTCCATACAAGTTTCGGCCAACTCCTCGTTTCCATTGATACACATGGGTTGGGTACGTCACAGGGTAATATGTTGTTTCAAAATGTGGTCTCCTTTTAGCGCTGAGCACTGCCGTGAACACACGTTTTGGAAGTTTGCAATCGGTGCAAGGGTTCGCATGACCGAAGTTCCACTGTCAGGACGCATCAGTCAGGTTGATTCGCAACGGTGAAGTCCTAGGGATTGTGTTTTGGAGTGACTGGTGATTTTCAGACGGTTATCTTCCAGAGGGGTATTCCCCGCAATGAGAACAAATGTTTGTAGGGCCTTATGAGTAATGATCTTGGAGGGAGGGTTTACATCATGCCTTTCTGCATTGGGCGGACAGAAAGGCCTGGCTTGTCGCGCCCCCCGAGAGAAATGATTGGAATTAGCCGACGTAGGCATACAAAAACAAGTCAAGGCTGCTTCTTAAGGGGACGCAGGTCGTGCCGAGAGAGATGGAACATGATGAGGTGACCATGCGGGCGCGGAGTAACTAAGCAGGCAGTCAGCGAGAGCAGGGGGATACTGAACTTACACTGGTCCTCCTCCTCCTTCCCGTCGTGGCCCGGCATCGGGCTGGCAGCCGGCGTTGCCCCCTTCCGTTCGCCCAGAGGACTCCCCCCGCGGCCTCCGCCCAGGCGACTCCGCCGCGTGCCTTCCCTCGCAGTCCTCGGGGAACAAAAAGTGAACAGAAACTTTCGCAGGTCCCCACGCATTTCTCGGGTTGGCACTGGAGCTCCCTGGCGGCGCTTCTGGCGCCGCCCCTGGCGCGCACCGCGCGCCAGGGAGGGGGGTCCAAACCGATCCTTCCCTCGCATCAGTTTTTGAGGTGCTTATTGTTTGATTTATTTTTATTCCTCTTCCTATATGTTTGCACCTCGCCATCCCTGGGGGGCTGCGATCTGTGAAACTGTCGCCACTTTCGAGGCCTGCTGGGGGGCCCAGCACAGTGGGTACACACGGCGGGTTCAAATTGTACCTCGCCATCCCTGGGGGGCTGCGATCTGTAAAACTGTCGCCATTTTCGAGGCCTGCTGGGGTGCCCAGCACAGTGGGTACACACGGCGGATTGAAATTGTACCTCGCCATCCCTGGGGGGCTGCGATCTGTGAAACTGTCGCCACTTTCGAGGCCTGCTGGGGGGCCCAGCACAGTGGGTACACACCGCGGACCCAAACTAGACCTCGCCACCCCTGGGGGGCTGCGATCTGTGAAACCGTCGTTACTTTCGAGGCCTGCGGGGGGGCTCAACACAGAGGGTACCGACCGCGGACTGAAATTGTACCTCGCCATCCCTGGGGGGCTGCGATCTGTGAAATTGTCGCCACTTTCGAGGCCTGCTGGGGGGCCCAGCACAGTGGGTACACACCGCGGACTGAAACTAGACCTCGCCATCCCTGGGGGGCTGCGATCTGTGACGCTGTCGCCACTTTCGAGGCCTGCTGGGGGGCCCAGCACAGTGGGTACTCACCGCGGACTCAAATTAGACCTCGCCATCCCTGGGGGGCTGCGATCTGTGAAATTGTCGCCACTTTCGAGGCCTGCTTGCGGGGCCCAGCACAGTGGGTACATACACGCAGATTCAGATTAGACCTTGCCATCCCTGGGGGGCTGCGATCTGTGAAACTGCCGCCACTTTCGAAGGCTGCTGAGGGGCACAGCACAGTGGGCACTCACGGCGGACTCAAATTAGACCTCGCCATCCCTGGGGGGCTGCGATCTGTGAAACTGTCGCCACTTTCGAGGCCTGCTGGGGGGCCCAGCACAGTGGGTACCCACCGCTGTCTCAAATTAGACCTCGCCATCCCTTGGGGGCTGCGATCTGTGAAACTGTCGCCACTTTCGAGGCCTGCTGGGGGGCCCAGCACAGTGGGTAGTCACCGCGGATTCAAATTAGACCTCGCCATCCCTGGGGGGCTGCGATCTGTGAAACTGTCGCCACTTTCGAGGCCTGCTGGGGGGCCCAGCACAGTGGGCTTCCCGCACGTCTTTCTCCTGCTCTTCGTTCCCGACTCCCCATGTCCTCTTCGAGCCTGTAGTTGTCGCCCCTCGTTCTTGTGTGGTTCTCCTGCGCATGATGCCATAGGCGCGTGTCCCAACTAGCTTACATATCAAACAACGGATCCTGCAATTTGATTGTCAATGCAAGTTTCGGCCAACTCCTCGTTTCCCATGATACAAATGGGTTGGGTACGTCACAGGGTAATTTATATATTTTTGCAAGCCCGGGCGGGGGGAAAACGTCCCCCTCCAAAAACAGGACGCCCGGTTTCTGGGGCTTTGGGACCCTTCGGACGTGCCTCGAAGCGGCCCCCTGGGCCTCGCAGGGCGTTTGCCAAGCCCTCGCAGCACACCTAGGGCGATCAGGGGGGTCATCGGAGACGTCCCAGAGAACCCCAAGACAGCAAAAGAGCGCTCCAAGAAGCCGTCATACCCCGCAAGATCGCTCCAAAACGTACCAAGAGGCCTCCAAGAGCACCCCCAAGAAGGCCCCAAGATGGACAAATCATTGATTTAATTTAGGTTTTTGGTGAATTTGGGGTTCTCCTCTTTTCGGCTTCCCGACGCTCCAAGACATCTGTCTTCTGGGCGTCCGAAGTCGCCTGGGAGACCCCCCAATCGCCCCACAACCATCCGAAAGGGCTTCCAGGCAGTCCAAGAGAGCCCCAAAACGGCACAACAGAGGTCCAAAATGGCCCTAAGAGAGCCCCATGGCGGCCCAAGATGGCCCCAAGACACCCTCCGAAGCATTCCAAATCGTGACCGGGGCGTTCAGGGAGACCGCGGTTAGAGGCAGGTTGGCCTTAGGAAGCCCCAGAGGCCCCCAGAACACGCCCAGGAGGCCTCCACAAGGCTTTAAGAAAGCTTGAGAACTTTGGTGAGGCCCCCAGAGGCTCTCCAAGGAGGAGCCGCCGCAAAAAGAGCTGAGGAGGATGGGGAGAATGCCCAGGGTATGGCGAGAATGAGGAAAAATATGCATGGAGGAGATAGCGAACAACATTATCATAACGGCGATGCCAGAAAAGGCAGCAAAGAGTTATCGCTAAATTGTCCGCATGGCCTTCCTGCCATTTCCGCCTGCATGCCAATCTTCAAGGACCAAGGTGCATGGCGCGAAGCGCCACTGCAGTCTTGCACACACACACACACACATATATATATATATATATATATATAGATTGGAGAGGCCTGACGGCCGGTGCCGCCGACCCTGATCGAAAGGGCAAGGAGTGGGGGGAGGGGGAGGAGGAGGGGGAGGAGAAGGAGGAGGAGGAGGAGGAGAAGGAGGAGGAGCAGGGAGGAGAGGAGGAGGAGGAGGAGAAGGAGGAGGAGGAGAAGAGGAGGAGGAGGAGGAGGAGGAAGTGCACCCTTTGTGTGCCCGCTCGAGGAAAGTGCGCCCCGGGAGTGTGATATTCTGACTTGGGACGTGCTCCCGGAAGAGGAAGAAGTGCATCTCGGGCGTGCCCGCTCGAGGAAAATGCGCCCTTGGGGGGTGGTATTTTGACTCGGGGCCCGCTCCCGGGACGCCTCTGCGGGAGGAGGAGGAGGAGGAGGAAAAGGAGGAGAGGAGCAGGATGAGGAGGAGGAGGAAAAGGAGGAAAAGGAGGAGGAGGACCAGGAGGAGGAGGAAGTGCATCCTTTGTGTGCCCGCTCGAGGAAAGTGCGCCCCGGCGGGCGTCGTATCTGCCCCGGGCCCCCCCCCTCCCCCCCTCTGCGGGGAGGTGCATGGCGCGAAGATCCACTGCAATCTTGCACACACACATATATATATATATATATATATAGATGTATATGTATATGTATACATGCATGCATGCAAGCCTTGAATTTCACCGGGCATGTGTTTTGTTGCGTTTTGCGGCCACGAACGGCGAGTAGGAGGTGATTGGTGGACGGTTTGCGCGGGGCGTGTGCAGCTACTTGCCGCTGGTCGGTTGCCGCTATTTGACGCCACGTGCCGCTCATCCGCCAACGTGTTGGTCAATATTCAAGGTTGGTTTTTTATACATCGGGGGCGGCACAGGGGGGGGTGATGACTTGGGGGGGGTGGATATCATGGCGTGGGCCACGATATCTCCCCAGTTTTCATGGCGCCTCTTCTTATTTCATTATGTCCGTGACCCCCCCGCTGGGCCGCACACGTGCCGCCGGTCATGATTTGCACCCCCCCTCTTGGACACCCCCCTCTTGGCCGCTCCCGAATACACAACTCGCGTACCGTCGCAGTCTCCTGCTGGGTGAACAGGCCTGGCTAACGGCTCCGCTGGACAGCAACCAGGTCGAGATGGAGCTGGCGTGGAGGCCGCGGCGCCTTGCGAGCGGAGCGAGCAGAGGGAGGGGAGGGGAGGAGGGCAAAGAGCGGAGGAGGGAAGCTGGGGAACACTCGGGGCCAGGGGCATGTCCACACCACGATGTCATGAATGTCCACCACTCAGTGGCAAATTGCGGCCGAACCCCACCATGTATGTGTATATACCTTTATATATGTGTACACACGTGTGATGCCATCAGTGTGTAACATCGCCTGTCGCCAGGAGAACTGGCCCGGGAAATCGTACACTGTATGTCGTCCTGTGGCATTTCTGCGAAGCCCCATGGGACGGAACCCAGCTATCTCAGGGTACGCACGCGCGTCTCCCAAACATCGGGTCGGTCGAGCGTGGAGGCTCGGGGCTCGACGCCGCCGCTCGTTTCTGGGAGGCCTCTGGAGGCTCTCGCCGACCCGCTTGGACGCAGCTCGATAACTTTGGCCAGGATGGACCCCGGGTTCAGTCGGGCATGCCCCTCTGCAGGAGGAGTATTCAAAAATAGTAGAAAAATAATAGGGGGACGATTTTTCCGTTATCTCTGACAATTTTCGAATATTTTCTGCTTATGTTTTAACTGTCAAAATCCGCATGAAGGGGGACATGCCCGACCTAAACCTAGAGAGTCGTCAGGGGATCGGTACCTCAGGCGATCGCAAACATGGATCAAGGGGGCGTGGATTGGCGACGGGTCCCGTCTCCATGGGAGATCGCGGATCTCCGCCGCCGAACGAGGCGGCACCGGCTGCTTTTTTGGGGAGGGCACCTCCCCCGATCCATGGATTTGGCGACCGCGCGCCAAATCCATGGATAGCTAATCCATGTTTGCGCGCCCCCGACAATCACCCCCTCACACTAAGCACCGCTGTAGAGGCCACCCAGGAGGTGGAGGAGCGGAGCGGGGGGGGGAAGGCGGGCAAGGACAGAGGAGGGCCAGGCGCCGGCGAGGGGAGGCGAGGCGCGGCCGAAGTCCACGCAGGGCAGGGCAGGCAGGAGGGAGAGGGGCTCAGGACACATCCGGGGAGCCCGCGGAGGACGTGCGCGCCCAGCTGCGTACACGAACACGGCCCCTCGATTCGCAAACATGGCTCGCTAATGCATGTTTGCGCGCCCCCGAAGTAGACGTAAGAGTGACCTTTCACCGGAGTGACCTGCGGTGCGGGCACAGATGGGCCCCCAGATGGTTGAAAACGAAGCAGGAGCAGCGGTTTGCGCGCCCAGGTTTGGTCCCCCCGCGGCCCCCCAAAAGCCGCGCACCAACGGTCACTCTTACCCAGGGTCACTCTTGCGTGTGGCTGGATATCGGGCAGTTTTGGTCGGACGAGAGAGGATTGGGTCGCTGGGCACGTTCGGTGGGCCGGGGCCTCCGGCGCTGGGAGGCGCCACGGAGAAACCGGCTGGCAGCGTGAGCGTCGAGGAAGAACAAAGCTCAGGAGGAGACGAAACACACAGACACAAGTCATCGTCGATCCCCAGGAAAATACGGGGAAGTATGGGAAGCGGGGGGAAGACAAAGACCCAGAAGATGTGGGGAGATATTGGGAATATTGGGATGTGTGTATTTATTTGTGTGTTTGCGGGCCCCTCAACAAAGCGCCATAACCATAATTTTTTGGCGTTCCGCGCGGATGGATCGGATTCGCGCAGGGCCCCCCCCCAGATGCGCCTCCGGCGGCGCCCCTGGCGCGCTCCGCGCGTCAGGGAGGGGGGTCCCAGCGCGGAGCCGACCCATCCGCGCAGAGCGCCAAAAGTTTATGCTCATGGCGTTTTTTCTTCTTCTGCTTCGGCGCTGGGAGGCGCCGGGGAAACCAGCTGGCAACGTCGTCGTAACGTAAGCTTATTCTACAGGCTTGCGCCACATCCACCGACCCCTCAAGTTTAGTCGTGGTGGCGTGCCAGGGTGCTCTCCCCACATCTCGAGGGAGGCCCCGCCAGGCCGTGGCTGGATGTCGGAGCTCAGTATGTTTTTTTGTGGATGTCCGAGGAAGAGGTCTTCCGAAGAACCAAGGCCCTTCAGAAGGACAGTCGCCGTGCACTGCACGGCGACGCATGGCGAGATCACTGGAGCAGGCCGGTGCACTGCCCTCGGCCCATGCAGCCATTCAAGCAGTGGCGAAGCGTCCTAGCTCGCCTATAGGCCTACCAAACAATGTTCTAAGAACTTTTTGTGAGTTCCACGAAATGTTCTTTGAACATTTCTGGCTAGGACTGTCTTGATTTAACACATCAGGTCTATGTTCTAAGAACCTTATAAGAACATCTCTGTGTTCTAAGAACATGTTGGTAATTAGGCCTAATACTAGAAATGCTGGGACTGTCGGTCTCTGCTCAAGCCACCGTGCTGGAGTTGTGGGCCATACGTCTTGAGATTGTTCGTCGGGATGTCGTGGCAGGCCTGTCGGGGAACTCATGGATGCAGTTTTGCGACGGCGTGGGTGCCGTTTGGGGGCCCTCTCGAGCTTGTCCTGCTCCCTTTGGGGCTGCTCCCGGGGGGCCAGCTCGCGGCCTCCTGGGACCTCTTGGCAGCCTTCTGGGGCCTGCTGGGGGCGTCTTAGGGCGGACTGCGAGAATTGTCGCTGTCGGGCCCCTTCTGAGGCCGTTCTGGGGCCTTCTTGATCCGTCTTGGAGATCTATTGGGACGTCTTGAGGTTCTCCTGGAGACGTTTTCTCCTCAGCGCATATTTCCTCCAAATGCACGTTTTCCGAAAGGACGAGGGCGCTTTTTGGTGGCTGGGGCCCTCTAGGGTTTGCTCTCGGAGGCCGCTTGGGGCGTGTTGGACACCTCCTCGGCCGTCGAAAGGCAATCGTCAACGTCATCAGTTGATTCGTTGGCGTCACAGGGCTTTCACGAAACGCTTGGAACAAATCCCGAGCTCTCGCGGAGCTTCCGAAGTATCCCACCCATGATGCGTTCGGCGGGTGGTCGGGGGAGGCTGGGTGGGCCCTCTCGTGGAGCTGTCTTGGAAGCTTGTAGGGCCACAGTGGAGACTTCTGGGGCCATCCGGGGCTCCCGACCTTTTCCCGATGACGATTCTGTGAGGCCTCGTGGAAGCAGGTTTGAAGCCTCTTGGAGCTCGTTTTCGGGCCTCTTGGGTGCCTTGGAGGCCTCTTGCGGGGTCTCTTGGGCTTCCTGGAGGGCCGCCGGAGGCCTCTCCAGCGAATCTCGGGGCGGAAAGCTCGAACTGTCGGCTCGGGCCCCCGCTCTTCGGCCTTCTTGGGGGCCCTCTCGGGGCTCGCTATTGGGCTGTCTCGGGCGCCCCCTTCGGGCGCACTGGGGCCCCGTTGGGCCGTCTTCGGGCTCTCCTGGGAGCCTGGTGGGCCAGTCTTTGGGGCCTCTCGTCCCGTCTTCAACGCCGTGGGGGCCGGAGAGGCGTAGGTGCTGAAAGTGTACGCCCTCCCTGGGAATTTGGCGATTTGTACCTCTTGAGGCCATCTTGGGAGGCCTCTTGGAGGCTTTCTGGGGCGTCTTGGGGACATCTTGGGCCATCTGGGAGGCTATCGTAGGCGTCTTGGAACGCTGTTTTAGCACCTTCGGGCCTTCTTGGACCGTCTTCGGTGCGCCTTGGAGCCCGCTTGGGTCGTCTGGGAGCCCTCTGTCCTCCCGTTCCGCGCTCGGGCTGGGGGAAGCGGGAGGGACCGAAGTGCTGGTTTAGGATCCCCAGGGGGGATGACGGGGGAGAGAATATCACACGCCTAAAGACCTCCCTTTGCCATCCCCCCTTTGCTATCCCCCCGTTGCTATCCCCCCGTTTGTTAATTCCTCGGCGGATTCGCGACCACCCTTTACTATCCCCCTATCGTCGGATCCGAGAAGAGGAAGAGGTTGCGGAGAGGAGGGGAGGAACAGCAACAGCAAGAGGGGGAGGAAGGGAAGCAGCAGGTGGTGCGGCAGGAGGAGGAGGAGGAGGAGGAGGAGGAGGAGGAGGAGGAGGAGGAGGAGGGGGAGAGGGAGGAGGAAGACGGAAAGAGGAGAAGAGTAAGCAACGAGGGACGGGGTGGGGCAGGATGGTGTGGATGATGGTGATGATGATGATGATGATGATGATGATGATGATGATGATGATGATGATGATGATGATGATGATGATGAGGTGAGGATGAGGATGAGGAGAGGATGGAGAGGAGGAGGGAGGAGGAGGAGGAGGAGGAGGAGGAGGAGGAGCAGGAGCAGGAGGAGGAGGAGGAGCAGGAGGAGGAGGGATGTGGGATGTGGGATGTGGGAGGAAGAGGAGGGGGAAGCAACGGGGAGGACTGTCGAGGAACCTGCACCCTGGCCAGATCGAGCAGCTCCCTCCTGGATCCCGCGTGCCGTCTCGCGGCGATGGCCCTCGCGACGGGGCGGCCCCGACGCAGCTGACCACCCCCTGCCCCTCTCCCGCTCTTACTTGGTTGGCGGAAGGTTGGCTGATCAGGGCCTCACCTGTCCATGGAAGGGATGCGAGGGGAGAGGCATGCTTCCTCGCGTCGTCTCCTCGTCACACTCTTCGATCGAACGAGAGGCCTGCCTCCCTCTTCCCTCGGCTCTCCTTGAGGCTCTCGGCCTGGTTTCGCCCTCCCCCAGAGGCTGAGCTGAGCTCGGTCGCCCTTCTTGCATCGGCTTCATCGTCTCCTCCGCCTTGAGCGAGGGGACGGCATCGTAATGAGCGTCGAAAGAGGTAATCCCCCGAAGCGAGCCTTTCGATCGCGAAGGCGGCGAGGCGTGCTGCGGATCTCCCGGCCAGAAGGACGACACCTAAGCAGCAGCAGCAGCAGAGGTAGGATCGGATGTGACCTCTTGGTTGACACCTAGCTCCTCATCCTTCTTCCGGCCACGCGCAGACGCGGGTAGGGGGAGGGGGAATGTTTCTTAGAAGGAGGTTGCTTCGTAGAACGCGCGGACCTCGTCAGTAGATGTGAGGCCCGCGCCTTCTAACGAGGGGTTCTTCCGAGAAGCCTGCCCCCCTCCCCCTGCCCCTTTTGTGCGCGCCGCCAAGGGCTAGGATCGGAGGTGGACCTCTTGGTTGACATCCCTTCTTCTCATCCTTCCTGTGCTTCGGCCAGATGGGCGCTTCTTCTCTCTCTGCTCTCCAGCGGGCACCTGCCGGGGAAGCGGCCAGAGGGCGACGCAGAGGATAGCAATCTGCTCGGCAGCGTTCGGACGTGTGCATGTTTTCTCGGCGAGGACCGCCGAGGAGCGTCTTCGAGCATTTGATCGACAAAGCGCACGAAGCCGACCATTGCGCGGAGAATGGACGTCGGAGCGATGACAGGCTTGTGCTCATCGCGAGTTTGGGAGAAATCGTCGTTCCTTCCGTCGGAAGAGAAACAGGCACCGCTGTCCCAACGGGAGAGGTTGGACAGTTGTCATCCTTGCCGTCCTCATCCTTGCTGGACTGTTATGTGTCGTGTGTGTGTGCCCGTCCGCTCGCCCACTTCCGATTTCGGCCGCTAGCCTGACTCCGCCACGTTGCTGCGCTCGTGGCCGCGTCGCCCAAATAGAGTATGTGTATGCTTGTGTGTGTTGAGGGGGGGGGTGTTGCTCCTCGCTTGCTCTGGGCCCACACCGACTGGAGCTCCCCTGGTGCTGGGCACAGGGCCGCCGACAAAAGTGTGCGTTCGTGCGTGTGTGTGTGTGTGTGTGTGTGTGTGCGTGTGTGCGTGTGTGTGTGTATGTGTGTGTGCGTGTGTGTGTGTGTGAGCGTGTGTGTGTGTGTGTGTGCGTGTGTGGGTGTGTGCGTGTGTGCGTGTTTGTGTGTGAGTGTGTTTGTGCGTGTGTTTGTGTGTGCCTGTGTGTGCGCGTGCGTGCGAGTGTGCGCGTGTGCGTGTGTGTGTGTGTGTGCGTGCGTGCGGAGGGGCATTGTCTTGTCCTGCCGTTCCCGGTCCCGCTGCCCGTGCAAGCCTGTTGTGCTCTTGGCACACACGCGTACCGCTTCTTCACGGCCTGCGCGCGCTCCGCCGCTCGCGCCTTCCCTCCCCCCGCGCCCCACCGTTCTCCTGTTGTGCCCGTTTTCAAGCTGTGGCGAAGCGTCCTGGCTCGCCTATAGCCCTACCAAACAATGTTCTGAGAATCTTTCGACGTTCCCACGAAATGTTCTCAGAACATGTATGGCTGGGACTGTCTTGTTTTATCACATCGGGTTTAGGTTCTAAGAACATTGTTTTTGCTCTTAGAACATTTTTGGGGTTCTAAGAACATTTCGTGGTAGGACTATCGGAATGCCGGGACGGTCGGTCCCTGCTCAACGTTTCGGACCCGATGCGTCCCCCATTCGTCTCGGCCGCGTCTGGGACCCAAGTCGCCGTTGAAAGAGAAGGGCGTGCGTGGGAGGAAGGAAGCGAGGGGACAACTGGGCGTGAAGAGGTTGGGACGTGAGCGAGAGCTCGTGGCAGCAATTATGGGTCCAGGATTGCACGAACATTCTGGGGATCTCTCTCCACGAGCTATGTCGGCTGAACAGCACCTTGTACGGACAGGACACCTTGGGATGGTGTTTGTCGGTCGGTCAAGACGGACTTGGAAGTTGCCCCTCGGAGTCAGCGCGCCGGGCTCTCGGCTCGACAGCGTGCCATGTCGGCGCCAATCCGGGGCTCTACGAGCCCTGGCCATCCTCCGTGGGGCGATGCCCCGTCTCAAGCCCGTCCCCAAACGCGCCGAGAAGGTCTGCCCCTCGGGAAGTGCAGTCAAGAGGGAAAGGGTGCAAGGCAAGAATGCAAGACCCGAGCTGGAACAATCGTAATGTTGCGTTCGGCCAGAAGGCCCAGGATGCAAGTCCCAAAACCTCAGGTAGCAAGGTCAGACTTGATAAAGTACACTGGGGGCCCATGCCAAGAAACGCCCTGCTTGCCTCCAGGGTGCCCTGGGTTTCTTGGGTTTCGATGGTTTTACGGGGGAAGGCGCGACGCTCCTACACACAAAACCAATACACGTCCTGGGGTCTAAGGGTTGGGTTTCTTGTGGAAGGTTTCTTGTGGACTGGCCTCCACTGTACGACAGATTCGTGTCGTGTCGTCGCGGCGGCGACCCCGGCGCTCGCGTTCAAGGTTTCACGCCGCCAGTGGTCCCGAATCGGCCGACATCGAGTGGCCTGTGCTATCAGAGGACCGCGACCGTTCAAGGCTGAACGACGAAAAGGCGCCACGAAACTAACCTCGGGCCGAACAAAAGGGGGGGATAGGGAAAGGGGGGGTTTAGAAATCTGCTGCATGCAGCTGGTTTCGATCCCGCTGAGGGGCCGATTCCTCGATACATGGGCGCCTCCCGGCGCCGAAAAACTCCTTGGGAAAATCAGCTACGTGAGCTGATTATCTACCCTTTCCTTTGCTATCCCCCCCATCTCGTTCCCCCCGAGAACCCTCTGCACTTCTCCACCATCACGGCGCCGTCTGGGGGGGAATTGGCGGCGCTTCGGGGGGAAAGGCAAAGGGGGGGCGGGCCTTCTCAGTAGGCTCAGAAGGCTACTGCCCTTCTGAGGAAGCTTCCCATCAGGCGATCACAAATATGGATCAAGGGGGGCGTGGATTAGCGACGTGTCATGGGAAATCACGGATTTCCGCAGCTGAACGAGGCGGCACTGGGCGCATTTTGGGGAGGACACCTCCCCTGATCCATGGATTTGGCGACTGTGAAATCCATGGATCGCTACGGCAGGTTCGCGTCGTGCCGACCGGCGGCGACCCCAGCGCGTGCGTTTAAGGTTGAACGCCGCCCGTGGCCCAGGATCGGCCCGTCGTTGAACGATCCGGCGTTCACGGAACGGCCAATCGCTCAAGTTTGAACGATCCCCGCGGTGTCAGGAGCCAACGCCGGGGTCGACACGACGCAAATTTGCCGTAATGCATGTCGGCGCGCCCCCGATTCCTAATCCATCTCCAGAAGGCACAGAGGGCTTATGTGAAAGCCATTGGTTTTCTGAGAAGCCCCGCCGCCTACCGAAAAGGCCTGCCGCCTCGCACTTCTTCCCTCGGCGCGCTGCCGCATCGCGGCGCGATGTCCTCTGGCATGCGCGCGCGTCTCTCCCTCCCCCCCGCAGAGGCTGCTCTGCGAGCGCTGGCTGGGAGAGGCGCGCCGCGCCGACCGCCCTGCGCTCCGTGCGGGCCCCCCTCGGTGTGGAGGAGGAGGAGGAGGAGGAGGAGGAGGAGGAGGAGGAAACGGAGGAGGAAACGGAGGAGGAAACGGAGGAGGAAACGGAGGAGGAGGAGGAGGAGGCCGAGGCGGAGGAGGAGGAGGAGGAGGAGGAGGAGGAGGAGGAGGAGGAGGAGGAGGAGGAGGCGGATGAGGAGGAAGAGGAGGAGGAGGAGGAGGAGGAGGAGGAGAGGAGGCGGGAGGGGCAGGAGACAGAAAGAGAGAGAGACAGAGCGGATGAAGCGGTCGAGGAGGAGGAGGAGGAGGAGGAGGAGAAGGACGAGACTAGGAAGAGGAGGGAGAGGGGGGGGGAGGAGGAGGGGGGAGGCGGAGGAGAACGAGGAGAAGGATAATAAGTAGGGAGAGGAGGGAGGAGCAGAACGACAAGGAGGAGGAGGGAGGAGGAGGAGGAGGAGGAGCGGGAGGAGGAGGAGGAGGTGGAGGAGGATGAGGAGGAGGGGGGGGAAGAGGGAGAGGTGGAGAGGAGGAGGCGAAGGAACGGGATGAGGAGGAGGAGAAGGAGGAGAGGAGGAGGAAAGAGGAGGAGTAGGAGGGGAGGAGGAGGAGCAGGAGCAGGAAGCAGGAGGAGGAGGAGGAGGGTGACCAGGAGGAGAGGAGAAGAGGAGGAGGAGAGGAGGAGGAGGAGGAGGAAGGAGGAGGAGAAGGAACGGGAGGAGGAGAAGGGTGATGAGATTGAGGGAGGTGGGGAGGAGCAGAGCAGGAGCAGATCGGAGGAGAGTCAAGGGGGGCGGAGGAGAGGACGGGAGGAGGAGGACGGGTGGAGGAGGAGGAGGAGGAGGAGGAGAGGAGGATGAGGAGGAGGGGAGGAGGAGGGGGGGGGGAGAGGAGGTGCAGTGAGGAGGGGAGGAAGAGGGGGGGAGGTGGAGGAGGAGGATGGAGGAGGAGGGAGGATTGAGTCGGAGGCGGAGGCGGAGGAGGAGGAGGAGGAGGAGGAGGAGGAGGAGGAGGAGGCAAAGGGAATAGGGCGGGAGGGGAGAGGTGTGTGTGTGTGTGCGACGAGGGGCATGACAATGTGTGTGCTCCGACTGTTCTGTAACTGCTGCAACTCTTATTCAGGAAAACTTTCAAATAAGAAAGCGACATGACCTGACGCCGAGGGACAACATATAATAAAAAGAGAAGAAGGGCGCTCCCTGACCCTAGACCTTCTCGAACAGGCCTCTGATGAGGAGCTGCCCCCCCTGGGCTGTCCACGGGGCGCGGGCCTCGTGGGCGGCACGGGCGAGGGCCTGGGCGCGAACTGAGCGGCGCGCCCTGGCCTGAGCGCGATAGTGGGCGATCAAAGCCCGTTGCTCCCCAGTGAGATGGAGGGGAGGGGGGGGAGGGGGAGGGGAAGGGACGAGAGGGGAGACCTCCAAGGCCCACTGCGCCGTCGAAACCGACTGGCTCGGAGGAGAACCGAAAAGACTCTCCGGGTCCTTGGGACCATGATCCTCGTGAGGGGGAGTCAGGCAAACTCCATCCCCCTCGGACTCGAGATAAAACCTGTACAGTTCGGGATCGACAGTGCGACGGGAACGCTTGGGGCCCCCAGCAAAGTCGGGGGCCAGGGCGAAATCGTGATCACAATCAGGGGTCCAGGGCACATATAATCGCATGAGACTATCTGTAATGCCTGACCCCTCGAATTCAAAAACAAAATCTGCCTCTTCGGCAGGGGCCACAATCTGCTGTGCACTGTCCAAAATGGACCTCGCTATGGCTTGGCACAAGTGACTGGGATACGATCTTAGACTGAGTTCGCCACGAGCCGTCGCACTTCCGACCGAGCAGGGTGAGATGGGCCTCCTTACCGTGGGAGCATCGCCCTTCTCCAGGCGTGTTCAACAGAGCCTCAGGGAGCAGGGTCATTCGCACTCCAACCATTCGGGTGGGGGCCCGACCGATCTGAGACATATCAGTCGTGACCGGATGGTGCTCGCACTGATCAAAGTCAGTCATGCTGGAGACGGGGGAGGAAACGAGAGCGACGAGCGGGGGCCACCTCCAAGACGAGGGGGCATCCGGCACCCAGGTGGCGGGAATGGGGTGTTCCATCCACCCCCCAGTCCCCGCGCGCATGTGCTCGCACAACATAAGCACCAGGGCCTGTAGGAGCTGACCGCCTATGCGGAGCTGATCCTGTTGCCTGGGCGCGCAGCCTGGGACACCCCAGAAATCATCCAGGGTGAGAAGGGGGGGGGGGCCCCTTCTTGCCAGCGAGCCACGCCCCAAGTCTCACAGGTGCCCCCCCCTGTGTTGAGCACCCGTCGGTCACGAATGTGACCTATCCAAAACTTGATAGAGTCGTGCTGGGTTAAATCGCCTCGCTCAGTATCGATCGCAATATCGATCGAGAGGCAGAAGATTTCGCACTCCGGAAAGGGGTGCGACGAGGAGAGATGCCACTGCACATCACCGCTTCTGCGCTTCCCACAAAACAGGTTAAGCACAACAAATTGGGCTCTACAAATTCTGATGGGGAGGGGGTCGGCCGCAGTTTGAGCATAATCCTGGGGCCGGAAGGGCCAGTAGCGGTCGTCGAGACCGTCGCTTTGGACCACAGGGGCCGCCACCCCCGACAAAGCCAAATATTGAGTGGCCGCCTCCTCGGAAAACACCCAATCAGAACGCAGCAAAACTTCCCAGGCCTCAGGGTCGGTCAGGTGGGCGATCACATCACGAGCGAACGGATCCTGGACAGCACGGGCACGGGCACGTCCGCGCACCTTGAGAGCTGGGACCTCGGGGCGCCATCGACCAAGTCCGGCTGCTCTTTTCTGTGCGGCAGCGCTGGCAGCTTCTTCACTGAGCCGCTCTATCTGCTCGTAGGTGCAACCAGAGGGCGCGCTGAGCATGGCCAGCGCACACTTCGGTGACGAGAAAGCAAGATGCTCGATCAACGGCTTCCGAGCTGCGAACGTAGTCTGGCAGTGCTGACATTGTTTGGTGTGTCCAAGATGTGTGCGCACTCTGTGTATGAACGTCCAGTGCTCACGGGCCGTGTGCTGCTTGAAACCCTTGATGGTGTCGAACTTCTCTGGGCACCACAGACGCGCATACGACGGCATGGTGGCCTGGTCCTGGACCCTCAGAGGATGGCTGGGATCTGTAATGGCCCTCGGAACTCCCGCATCGTATAGTACCTGAAACGCATCGGCCTCCGCGACAGCGGCAAGAGTGATTCTAGTATGATGTGACATGTGGGCCTGCAGGGCAACCTTGAGGGAGACCCTCCAGCGAGCCTCTGAACCCAAGATAAACGATTCCCAAGCAGCGAGATCCTCGGTGGCCTTGGGGAGCTCCTTCAGGCGACAGTGGTGCTGACGGACCCATTCTAGATCTGGGGTGACCTGGTGCAACCACGCGTTAGTGCCCAGAGTAGCGCAGTATCCCACTAGAGCTAAAAGATGTGCTGGCCCATGATGCAGGAGCCGCCCAAAAAGTCACAGCCTGTGCACCCGCAACATGGAGGCCAAACCGGGCTTGGCAGCTTTGGCAAGGATCTGCTCTGATGACAGTGCGGTCTTGTCGACTCCCGGGCAATGGACGACCGCTCTGTACATGCGAACGATGTCGTCGGCCAGCTTAGCCGACTGCGCCAGCGTTAAAGTCGGCCATGTGCATGCCTGATACAGCCGGCTGGATAGCATAAGAGAATCAATCAAGATCATGCTGATACGATTCTCGAGGTGGAGATCTCTAACGACGATACGAAGTTCTTTCCATTCAGAAACTTTGGCTTGACGGCGATGAGCTAGTTCGGGTCCTAACGAGCAACCTTCGTCGAGAACGGTTCCGAGATGGGTATATTGTCGGACAGCATGTAGCTCGAGTTGGCCGTGGAGCTTAGTGACGAACCGGATGGTACCACAATGCATCCAGAGACGGCGTTTCGCGATGTCCGAGCTTTTCCCACGCAGCTGGAACAGTGCAGCAGATTTCCCCCTGGCGGTATGTAGCTGAATGCCCCTGGACCCGAACGCGTCGAAGATGATGCTGGCGGCAAACGGCGCAAGCCGTTGTAGGTCAGTCGGGCTACCCAGGAGCATGAACATCGCATCGTCGAAAAAAAGCCAGGTCCATTGAATGCTCGGTATGCACATGCTGGGCGCCCTGGTCCAGGCACGCGCTAACTGAGCGGGCCTCCGAGACAGGAGTGCGCAACTCAATCCCAAGATCAACCAGAGCGTCCTGGGCCTCTTTGGCCACTAGGGCCATGACGAAATTGTGCACAAGGTTCCCCAGTTGTAGGCCTGGCCCAGTTCCCTCCTGGGGAAAAGCCGTGGTGGAGCTCCCAGGAACCACAAACCAGTTGGACTGATTGCAGTCAGCCACCTGCGCATGAAGCCCCCTGGGAAACTGCGGAGCCCGCATGATAGGCCCATGGGTCTTGATGCACTCCTCGAGTTCATCCATGGCCTCCGGCGGAAGCCCGGCAAGTTTGAGGACGTGGGCCAGGTCCTCGTCGGACGCACCTGTCTCGAAGACTGGCTCGCTGACTGCTCTATAGAATGCCTGCGCGGCGTCAGTAGGGATAAACCGCGCGGACTGACCAGACAGGAGGCCGATCCTGCTGCGTGGTGCGCACCTCCAGCGCAGCAAAGTCCGTACCTCCATGCGCCACTCCTCCATACTGACGGGGGCCCGCCAGCGGCTGCAAAAAGGGTGCCACATCTCGTCGCAGCAGACTCCGAAAACGTTTCCCGAGCTGAGAAGATCCTAGGATGGAGCGGTAGTTGAGACGCGAAGCTGGACTGCCTTTTTTGCGCAGGGGCCCATAAAAGCCCCCTTTCCATTGGATAGGCTCGGAGATGCGGACCTGGGCCTTTCGGAACAATGGCAGCAGCAGCGGAGCAAGGTCGCCAGCAAGCTTGCGGACCACGTTACCTGTGATGCCGTCGGGTCCAGCAGCCGACGGTTTAGCCGAGCGCAAAG